TGATTGACGGTAGTGCTGGCTACACTGACCATATGACGGGTTAAAATAGAAAACATATTTTTTTTCGTGGACTGGCAGTAACAGTTAAATGACTTTTGAATTTATACACACAATAATTATTTTTTTTTTTAAATCCTTATGGTTTCGTTTCGCTTGTTTTACTTATTTTCGGTTTTTTTTTAAATTTGTTTTGTTGTTGTTGTTTGTTTGTTTGTTTTGTTTTTTTCCCCGCAGATTCGGTATTTTATTGATTATACAGGTAGATTTTAATAATTAAAAAAAAAAAACAATTTCTAAATTGACCACAGATGGGTATCCCATAATTTCACACAAACGCTCGCACCATATGGCACACCGCAAGCATTGTGGGTAAAGTCTATTCTATCTACTCAACAAACAAATCAGCTCTAGCCTCTCAACAATCCCAGAGTTCCATTGTATCTGCCTGACGCATCCACACAAACAATCACGCCCAATACGATAAGTCAACAGCCATTCGTCTCCATCCCCCCCCCCACACACCCCACCCCACCAGCCCAACAATAACCTGCCCTAATTAATTGCACACACTTCACCATCAATATTTGGTTGATCTGATTACGGTCAAATCACACATAGTTAACCGACAAACACAGATCAATAATCCGCACCAAATTAACCCACACTCAAATACTAAATCACACAAACCTAATTTCTAAATTACTCAAAACGAAACACTAAATTATTGTTTATTTCAAAGTGCCTCCGATATATACACACACACATATATATATATATATATATATATATATATATATATATATATATATATATATATATATATATATATATATATATATATATATATATATATATAAATATATATATATATATATATATATATATATATATATATATATATATATATATATATATATATATACATAACCCACACCTTTTGATTCCCCCCCCCCCACACACACCCCACATACTCAGATTCCCCACCCCCCCCCCCCCCCCCACACACACACACACACCCTAAGATTCCCCCACCCCCCTCTACTTTTTTCTCCGCCACTAGTTGTAAATACTGTTATCAGTAGCTCTTGTAAAGATAAAAATAAAGTGAAGGCTACTATCAGTGAGGTCATTAGCTCCTTGCTTTAGTTCGAGCTTAGCCTTCTTGCTGTGATAACCATTGGCAATCCCAGCGGTCAACTGGGCTTTAACTCAATTAACTTGGCTAGCAAATTAAAAAACACAGGTTCGAATCCTGGCAGGATTAAATTGTGGAGGTCAAGAGGGAATACGTAACACAGTGGAGGTCATGGATGAGTAAAACGGATGTCATATTTGTGTGAAGTCTTTGATCACTGTAAAATAAGTAAAAAAAAAAATAAACCGGGAGTGATCTCCCCTAAACTTTCTCGAATATTCTTATATAACTCGGAATATAGACATGATTTTAAATTACTTAAACTTTTAAAAATAGAATAGAATCTCGTAGAAAAAAGAATTGCGCACCAAGCGAACGCCAAAAGAAAATGTGCATAATAGTGCGCAATATTATTAGTACTTTTTAAATTTACATGCGTTTTTTGAGAAATCGGAAATTGCGTTTTTCTACATTCGAATATACCTTTATTTTTTATTTTTCTTCTTTAAATAAAATGTTGGTTATACATTTAAAACATCTACCATATTTTTTCAATTAAAGTCCGTATCAAGTTCTCGATATATCGTTGAAGATTCTGATGTGATGTCCGGCGAAAATATTTTTCGGACTGAGAGAGAGAGAGAGAGATAGAGAGAGAGGGAAGTGCGCACATCGGCTTTTATATATTAGGATTGTCTGACACTCATACTTCATCTTAACATGCCAACCACTTACTCCCAACCCAATTACTCGTCTGATGCCAACCACTCGCGGCCCAAGCCAACCACTCGCCCCACCCATACAACAATTAAATTAAAAGCTCTGATCTCTTCAGCTGATGTTAACATCGTTTTATTTTACATTCACCAATCAATTTCTTAAGTGTCAAATTTATTAATTTTTTTAATGGCATGCCCTAGGCAATTCTCATCCAGATTCAATCTTAATGTCCTTAAGTGCGGAGTTAATGATAATTGCATAATTGACACAGCATTACACCGATCTGTAAGCAGAGATTACACGGCATGTAACCAGCCACACATCGTACATGTAATGAAATAAAACGGTGAAACATTAGACCCACACACACATTCACACCCACACATTCACACCCACACATTTACACCCACACATTTACACCCACAATACACCCACACATTAACATCCACACATTCACACCCACACATTTACACCCACACATTTACACCCACACATTTACACCCACACATTTACACCCACACATTCACACCCACACATTTACACCCACACATTCACACCCACACATTTACACCCACACATTTACACCCACACATTTACACCCACACATTCACACCCACACGTTTACACCCACACATTCACACCCACACGTTTACACCCACACATTCACACCCACACATTTACACCCACACATTCACACCCACACACTCACACCCACACACTCACACCCACACATTTACACCCACACATTTACACCCACACATTTACACCCACACATTTACACCCACACATTTACATCCACACATTCACACCCACACATTCACACCCACACATTCACACCCACACATTCACACCCACACATTCACACCCACACATTTACACACACACATTTACACCCACACATTTACACACACACATTTACACACACACATTTACACACACACATTTACACCCACACATTCACACCCACACATTTACACACACACATTTACACACACACATTTACACACACACATTTACACCCACACATTCACACCCACACATTTACACACACACATTTACACCCACACATTCACACCCACACATTCACACCCACATATTTACACCCACACATTCACACCCACACCAAACATATACTCCCACACACATTCCCACACACTCACAGATGTTGTCAGTTCACACCATAAAACACACACAACTCAAACACAACCCACACACAAACCCTGCCCACATTAAACCCATCAACAAGAAAACCCTGCTAACCATGAACCTTGCCAATAATTGAACACTGCCAACATTGAACCCTGCAAACATTGAACCCTGCCAAGATAGAACCCTGCTAACATTGAACCCTGCCAACATTGAACCCTGCCAACCCTTCCAACATTGAACCCTGCCAATATTAAACCCTGCCAATATTAAACCCTGCCAACATTGAACCCTGCCAACATTGAACCCTGCCAACATTGAACCCGGCCAACATTGAACCCTGTCAACATTGAATCCTGCCACCATGAACCCTCTCAACATTGAACCCTTCCATAATGAACCCTGCCAACATTGAACCCTGCCAACATTGAACCCTGCCAACATTGAACCCTCTCAACATTGAACCCTTCCATAATGAACCCTGCCAACATTGAACCATGCCAACACTGAACCCTGCAAACACTGAACCCTGCAAACACTGAACCCTGCCAACACTGAACCCTGCCAACACTGAACCCTGCCAACACTGAACCCTGCCAACACTAAACCCTGCCAACATTATACAAAAGCTATCCCCCAATCGTCCTCTAAACGAATTGTTTATGTGCTGCCCCATCTACACACACATTAACTCGGTTATCTCTCTTGTTCCAACAATTAATTTAATAATCGTCAGCGCCACTCCTACCCCACCCCTGTATCACCCATCTCCCTACCCCGCGGGGAAAGATCGGTTTACCCCCCCCCCCTACAGTCCCATTATACCCTGGCATCAATTAGCCCGATATTGCCCTCGGCTTGTGGGACCACAACACAGATCATTTTTGTTGGCCTCAGTTTTTCCACCAGCGGATGGTTTCCCCTTCCGATGGATTCGTTCTATTGTTTCTCTAAGTGCTCTCCCTTTAAAAAATTAATTTAAACCACTTTAATGACAACAGCGGTAGGTCGCCTTTATCAAAAGACCATTTTTATGAAAGGTTTTAGATTCGTTTACAACTGTGTTGTGGTCGGGTAGGGTATGATGGTGTGGGACCGTTTTTATGAAAGGTTTTAGATTCGTTTACAACTGTGTTGTGGTCGGTGAGGTATGATGGTGTAGAGTGGGACCGTTTTTATGAAAGGTTTTAGATTCATTTACAGCTGTGTTGTGGTCGGTAGGGTATGATGGCGTGGAGTGGAGGAGTTGGTGTGTTGTGTACAAAACAGCTGACTACAACTTTAGATCTTTTTGAGAAAGTCGTCCCACAATTCACAACATCTGTAAATATCTTAAACAGGGGGAACCGATGACTCCATTAAGACCAGCTATACGTTAAGTTGTGGGAAACAGTGGGTATGTCGTAAAGTCGATATGACTATGTCGTAAAGTCCATAGATAAGAGAATTGACTATAGTAAAATAGGCTTCACAAATTTTTGGCACATACATTGATTAAATACCAAAAAGTCAGTTCTAAGTTAAAGAACGGCGTGGTCAGATTGTAGAGCACTCGACTGTCATCTCGAAGGTCTCAAGTTCAGATCTCGTTCGGGATTCGAGACTGCAGAATGTGCCTGATGTGTGCTTCAGTCACGTTAGGGAAAGTAACAGTGGCTGACCACACCACACCACCATATGCCGGGGAACTCTATATTCCCTATGGGTCTTTGGGTATGTAAGGAAAACTTGTAGACTATTCACCTTTCAGCAAAGCTGCAATAAAGCCTTAATACTAACGATGTTTATATATAGTCGATCGTTAATACAGCTAGATGAAGCATTGTTTTCTCGATAGTTTAATAAGTGTCCATGTTGACCATTTCGGTACAAACGTAAGTATCTCTAAGTAAATAAAATAAAAATACTCTCCACACCTGCTCATTGTATCAACAACAAAATCTTGTTTCCTGTCACGTGTTCTGTCATATTTAGCCAAATTTTTTACATTTGCACTTACCTGTGAATGGAATCTTTAGCCAAGATGGCGGCATCTTTAGAGGGCTGTAGCACCCTGTCTTTGAGGTTACTGAAAGCTCCAAACGGCATCTTGGTGTGATGACGTCACAAAATGGCCGCTGCTGGTAAACCTTGAGTGTCCCTGTGCCGGGATAATTTTCTGGGTCCACGCCCACCGGAAGTGGTCTAGAAACAGATGGGGTGGGTACACTTGCTGGCGAATGTTTTTCTCATTTTAGTGGGGGTCTGGGGGTCGTCTGATGTAAAGTGGTGGGGTCTTGGGTCAGCCGATTTAAATTAAACAGCCAGCCTCTGAAAGAAAAGAAAACAAAGATTTAATTCTGTGGACAGTTTTGCTCAATGACCAATTAATAAATTAATTTATCATTTGTTTTCTCTTTATAATTCATTATATTTTGGTCTCATATAACCCCCCCCCCCCCACACACACACACACTACTCCTTCAAAGGCGGATTTTGTCCTATGTGTAGGCCTATTTATATTTTAAGCTAATTTAATAAGCATGAATTATATATGAACATATCAAAGTTTTATTAGCTTTGTTAATTTTACTATACTACTATATACTACTACACTACTACGATGGTGTCATCCTCTAAGATGGTGTCAACCTCGAGATGGTGTCAACCTCTAGAATGGTGTCAACCTCGTGATGGTGTCATCTCCTTGATGTGACCTCAGCAAGTTTATGTGTGGCTGTGGTTGTACCTCACACTACTCGTTATGTGGCTGTGGTTGTACCTCACACAACTCATTGTTTTGATAAACTCGCTACTAAGCTCGTCTTTGTACGGCCGTAAAACTTTAAAAATGTAGAGGGAGATTTTCATCCCTTGTTGTCATTTGATTTAAATGTCACTAGCAGTTTTTCAGTCATCATGTCATTTAGGTTGAATGTGGGTTAAGTGTGTGAATAATTATAACTAATATCAGGTTCTTAGACACGAAAAATTAATGTATTCTTTACGTTGTTAACGTTATTGACGCGTTTAACATTTAAAAGCAAGAAGTTAATGTCAGAGAATGACATGTTGTCACCTATAAAGATGTCAATGTCAAAGATGGCATCTACAAAGATGCTAATGTCAAAGATGGCATCTACAAAGTTTTCCACAGCCACTGGTTAATTTAACCATATTTTAATGTTTTAAAAAGTATTTTGTGCATTATTTATTTTAATATCAATTCAAAAGAAATTATTTTCAAGTCTTCAAGACAAAGTGTTGGGAACGCAAATCGAGAATACTGAAAAACTTCATCTATGCTTGATTGTTTATTAATCGTCACACCTGCCTTCTATTTAGGTGAGTAGATAGTATTGTAATCTACAGATTTAGAACCCTCTGATATAATATATTATGCAATCCGATGCAGTTCTAGTTATATGGGGGTGGGGGTAGGGCTGGTATATGCTTGTTGGTGCGGCTAGTTCGGGTGGGGGTGGGGGGTGTTTGCTGATCCAAGCGAACACAGCAGCTTCCAACTTTCTTTACAAACATACCAACATCAGCGAGGGAGGTGGGGGGGAGAGAAGGAATCGCACTCTTAGCTTTGATAAATCAAACAATGCACCGACGTCGCTTATCACAGCAACCAATCAAATCAGTCGGTACAAACACCGGTATCAAACGAAACGAAAGTAAACACACAAGTCCGGCGACCTCTTGAGGGTGATCAATGAATGATCGATATCAGAGGATTAATTGTGTGAATAACAGGTCGATGGCGCGGTTTTGTTAAGAGATTTCTATTGAATTAACGATATCGATTTTAATCAAACACCAAAACTGATTAGAGGGGTGTGAGCTAGACTATGAATTAAATGACAGGAAGACAGAAGCGTAGATATGCGCATATCGCATCTCTCTGGCTAGGGGAGGGGACTCTCGTGGCGTGGATTAGCTCCCGGATATGACGTAGTCATCAGGACAAGCATGGCGGGAACTGCTATTTTTCCAATCTTTTATTTCAACAGATGTTCGATGGCATAAATCATGCGAGTATTGTCGTAAAAATTACGGATGAAATACTACCTAAAATTTGTTTGAGAGAGGGGGTGTGGTGTGAATATTGCGTAGTTCAAGAAAGAGCGGAAATGTTCGTTATAATCTTAATACGACGTAACTGTAGAACTGGACATTGAGTTACACTATTAGATATTCAAAATTTCAATCACAGCTTTAAACAATGTGTTACTGTCTATACAGAAAATTTGGGATGTTAGTTCGAAGCAATATTACTTTAATGTCAATCTTTTCTAAAAAATAAACCGGGAGTGATCTCCCCTAAACTTTCTCGAATATTCTTATATAAAACAACAGGGGATGGGAACTCGGGATTTTTAATCCATTTTAAATACTTAAACTTTTTAAAATAGAATAGAATCTCATAGAAAAAAGAATTGCGCACTAAGCGAACGCCGAATAAAGATGTGTATAATAGTGCGGAATGTTATTTGTACTTTATAAATTCACATGCGTTTTTAGAGAAAACGGAAATAGTGAAAATTAATACTTACGGTCAACGGAAATTAATCAAAATTTTACAGAAGGCAGAAAATTTGATCTTTTACTTACATATGAAATGTCATTTATCTAACTGAAATAGTACTCAAGTTATATGCTTTTGAAAAATTCAAAGTAGAAAAAGTTCCACTTCCAGTTATCGGAAATCGCTCACAAGTTGATACGGATCTACGATTTTGATATAATACTTATATATGAAATTTCATTAACATAGCTGTAACGGTACCCAAGTTATCGTGTTTACACACACTCACACACACACACACACAGAGACATACGGACAAGATTGCAGAACTATGTTTTTCCTACTCAGGGGGGTGTAAAACGTCGAGATTTGCAAAACTCTCGAATTTTATTTTTGCACGATTACAATACTTTCTCTATACTTCGTATATACGTGAAAGTAAAAATAAGGAATACTCTACTTCACCTATTACTCACAATAATGATGATGTGTGTAGCACATTGTCTATACCGTGTTAAGAGTTAGGGTTGTGATGTTATAGGGTTGTGATCTTATATTGGTGTGCTCCTGTCACCTTCTCTTACACCTACATACATTTATAGGGTGTCACCAGTTGTCACCATCCCATTATCCATGACGTGTCATTAGTCACGATATTTATATCATGTTGGCTAATTAGATAATTAGATGATTGCAGCTTGATTAGAATCTTTGCGCAAAGCCTGGGCAACAAATTGAGAAGAGTCAGATCTCGCCCCCCCCCCTCCTCCCACTCCCCTCACATCGCCCAAGGGAGGGCATCACTTATACTATATTATACCATGTGCAGCCAGCCTTATGGACTTTTAGAGTTTACTCCCTTAGCTTTCACGCCCCAAGGTTAAGCCACAAGATGGGAGGTCTTTCTTCTCCTAGATGCAGTCCGCAACCCCCCCCCCCCCCGCACCCGCCTGGCGACGCTTCTGCCTAGATGAGTTCCCGTCATCAGCTGAAGACCCTCATCTTTGATGTATGCCAGTCACTACATCGAGTTGTGTCATTTATGTAGTGTCGCAAGGCATTACAGCAGGACATGTCGCCAGTTACTACATTAAGACGTGTCACCAGTCAATACATTTATGCAGTGTGACCTATCAATACGTCACGAAATATCACCATCTAAACCACGTCAGTAGTCACCTTACATATCCTATAACCAATCCCCACATCTATCACCTCTCACGACATAAATGACATGTCACCATTTACTACCTCTCCTCCAGCACACACACCCCCCTTTCCCCCCCCCCCCTCTCCCCTCACCTATCGTTAAAAAACACCCACCGTCTCAGCCTGTGGCTACACGACAAGGGATCATCGTTTTCAGAGCGAGGAAAAATAACGCTAATCTCTTCTGGAGAATAATGGACCAATTCTTCAAGAGCTTCACACTCCACGTTTCGAGGGATCAGAAACACAAAAAAATATTATTCCCTTTATTTTCCCGGGTTTTAATTCAACTTTTTAATTTAACTTTTTAGTCTAGTTTATCCCCGGACAGCAAGGCAGATCAGAGAAATCTGGGAATTAATTTATTCATGATTTTCACATTTTTGTCACGGCAAAATTTATAACGTGAAAAAAAAAATCACGGCATTGAAAACAGACGTGAAGAGAACCCAGTTATCAGGTTAAGGCTGGATGCCTGCTTTGGCTGGCCAGATTCATTTGCTCTGTTGGTCACCTACGGTATTTTTAATCAATGATTGGGATAAAAGGGGCGATAATTTAACAAGAAATTCGCGGACAAACTGAGGTTTAAACATGATTTCACTCCCCTTTCTTGTTGATGAGATTTGGCGGATCTAGTTGTTCACAAAAAGCCATTAATGGAGGGGTGGGGTTCAAACGCTGGGGTTCAAACGGTGGGTTTCGAATGGTGGGTTTCAGCGGATTGAGCGGTTGATCGCTCACACGAACAACTCCAGTAGAACGCGCCTGAGCCAACTCAGCTCAGACAGGTACCTGGCTTAAGCCGATACAGTAGCTTTATAATATTAGAACTAAATTTTAGATGTTGTATCCATAGAAATAGAAAAAGTCTACCTGATCTACTATATAAGACAAATGTTGGTGTGTGTTTTTTGTAATTTTGTGTTGTTATTATGTTGTAATGTGTAATACGTGTTATGATTCTGTGTTTTGATCTCTGGGGTGATATATGTGTGTTATATGTGTTGTGTTGCGTTGGATTGGATTGGGTTGGATTGCGTTGTGTGTTTTGTGTGTTCATGGTATTCAGTTTAGCTGTATGGTTGGATGTGAAAATAATAATGTACAAATGTCATCTTTGTGTATTGATCATTTTTAAAGCCATCGGTAAACACTCACATATACAAACACATCCACTCTCTTACAGATTGGCCTACATGCCAATAACAAAATTATTATATGCGTAGTTACATCGACAAAATGTCACACAAAAAAGACACACTAGAAATTGTCACAAATAGACACACCAAACAACTACAACAAAATACAAACTAACACGAGATACACGTCATACTCATTCATTCGGTCACTCACTAAAACTATGACGTCATACTCATTCATTCGATCACTCACTAAAACTATGACGTTATACTCATCCACGTCCCATCCCTCCCGTGAGCCCCACCCCCCACCAGTTTAATTAACCTTTTTCTAATCCGTGTAAACATCACACCCGTTCATTGTCCGATACTGCAGTATTCGATTACACCCACCGGCCGCAGTTGATCTTTACCTCCCACTCCCAACTCAATAACACGCCTCAAGCGGT